CGGAAACAAACAATGACAAAACATACAAACACGGAGGTCCGCGCGAATTCCTCGGATCGGCGCTGGACCCTCCCCTCCCTGGCGCGTGGAGCGCGCCAGGGGCGGCGCTGGAGGAGCCACCAAAGGGCCTCAGCGCCATCCGAGGAAATGCGCGCAGACCTCCGAGTTGCTATGCTTATGTCATTGTTTGTTCCTGACAAAAAAAAAACAGGGATGTCTGCAGGTGGGGATGTCTGCTGCCAACAAGAGGAAATACACACGACCGCCGAATGAACACAGGGGGCAGCACGACGCCCGCAATTACACGATAAGCTCGCTCTCCCTGCCCGTGCACGTGCAGAAGCCGAAATAGCCAGTGCTGTGGAATTTGCACTCGGATTTCTGTCCCAGCAAGACGTCCACGACTGCATTGTACGCGTGGCACATCGTATCCAAGGGCTGGCCCTGATCGTCCGTCTCGATGTTAGTGCTGATGGCCAGCGCAATGTTCAGCTTTGGGAAATATCCCGCGATGCTCTGGTAACCATATGTGGCCCCGATGTGGCCGTAGCCGATGCCCAGTGGGTTGGCGGGCCGCAAGAGATGCGGTCCCATGCGGCCAGTGATCAAGCCGAGGTTGAATGCACCCAGGCCGTACACGTGCGTGGCCCCTGGCCATGGCACCATCTGCTCGACATACTCGCGCGGGGCAACGGAACTCGGGGGGCCAAAGATCTCCCAGGCAAGGCTGGCCACGCTGGGCGCCGATGCGACAAGGTTGCTTGCAGTCCAGCCCGCGAACACGCCGTCCACGTCCCAGTTGTCGTGGTGGCTGTGCTCACCCCTGGGCACGTTGTAAGACGTGCGGTCGTAGCCGTGCACCGCACCGTAGTCCTTCGGCGCGCCACGGGTCGCAAAGTCAACCTGGCTGCGGAGGTAACTGGGCAAGTAATCGCCGAGGTGCAGCTGCTCCCATGACGTGGCGTTCCCCGAGTGCGCCAGCAGTACGAGCCCCAGAACCATGAAGTTGGTGCTGCTGTAGCAGAAGCCGGGCTTCTGAGAGAGAATCTTCAGGCACGGCTTCCAATGCCCCCTGACCCACGGCATGCTCATCAGCTCGGTCGGGGAAGACACGTGGTCTGGGTTGGTGTACAGCTTTGCCCGCAACGGGTCCGTAGGGGCTCCGGCGTGAGGCTTGGGAATCGCTGTGTCGAAGTCTGGCATGCCGTCCTGCATTGCAAGAAGCTGCCGGATGGTCGTGTTCGTCACGTTCGCACCCCAGAGATCCTCCAAGGTGGTGAAGTTCTGCCAGGGGTTGGCCCTGGACATATTCATCAGCAACGGGTCCACCAAAGGTGCAACCCTGCTGTCCAGACCAAAGGCTCCCTGTGAGACAAGCTTCATGATGGCGGCGGCCGTGACCATCTTCGTGACGCTGCCCCATGCGTACCGGTCAGAGGCGTTCGCCGGACGACCCGTGGCAAAGTCGGAGACGCCAGCCGCGACGGCGGTCTCGCCGTCGGCACTGCGGAGAGCAATGCTCACGCTGCAGTTGTACTTCACGTTTGTATTCCGCGCGGCTGTCTCAAGGGCAGTCTCCAGGCCGACTGGCGGCCACGAAGCCACATGGACAGCCAGGAGGCTGAAGGTAACTAGCAAGAGCGCCATGGCGGGTCGCGGGACGCTCCCTGCGAGGCTCATCTCCGAGACCTTGGACCACAATAGCCGCGTAGGGAGACGGCTTGCTCCATGAAGCAGAGCAGTCAGCACCGTACTACTCAGCCACGAGCACATAATAGTACCCACATCTGCTTCATCGCGAAGCACATGCGGGAACGACCGAGGGACAGCGTGAGTGGGCCCAGCGGCATAGACATCACCCCAGCAGCATCAAAGCAACTAGCACGACTCTACCACCCCGTCCACGCCGAGACAGAAATGCAACTATAAGAGCCACTCTCTTGGAGTTCTGGCGCGGTTCAGGGTCGCCAGGACGCAACAGTAACGATGATCCGCGGCGTTGAAGACCAAGCAATGGCGTTCTGGCACGATTCAGGATTTCCAGATGGTTGTCCTGCAACATGGTACTTCCCTCAGTGAAAGGAAGCTCATGTAGGGACAGATAAAAAAGGAGACTTGGAGGAAGAATTTATTGCAGCATTTGGTGGGACTTCGATGTTCCTCCTTCTCCTCTTCTTCTCTCCCCGACGTGTTCCCCGAAAGGTTTCTGCAACGGCTGGGGAAACACATGGTCCAGTAGCTTGGCCGAAGTCTGGCCGCACCATTCTGCCGCATGGGCGTTTCGAAAAGGCAGTGGACGGCGGTGATTCCTCGCAGGAGTCTGCGATCCGCCGTCCCCTTTGCTTGCAGGGCTTGCCGTGCCAGGTATTTGAACACACTTTGGCCCTTCATCAGAAAGGGATCGCCCTTCCAACGGGTTCCCTGTGGAGTCTCGGTGCAAATATCTAGTCATTCGGAACATTGTAAACCTCCAGAAAGCGAAGGTTCCATCTCCACGACGGCCAACATTGCCTTCCAGATCTCAAAAACAGCCTCGAGGACGGTCCCAAACCGCCGCCAAGCTGGCCCAAGATACCCACAAGACGACCCGAGACGGTCCTGGATGGCTCCAAGCTCCAATGCGGCCCAAGATGATCTCAAGGCGGCCCGACAGGCCCCCGATACGACCCAAGAGGGTTCCAAGAGGCCCTCCAGGAGGGACCGAAGAGACCAATGTCATAGATGATTCTTATGCTTTTGAAACGTGTTCGCGTTTTGGCCGTTTCGGGCTTCCACAAGCCGTAGACGGCCCCAGGGGCCTCCAAGATCGCCCAAACACGGCCCTAGAAAGCTCCAAGACTGCCCAACAAGGGTCCAGAAGGTTGCCCACGATGCCTCGATTACCCGAGCGCCCAGAGAGGCCTTCAAGACAGCCGCCGAAGGCGTCAGATGGGCCTAAGAGTGCCCTGAGACGGCCCAAGAGGCCTCCAAGAGGCCTCCCCCTCCTCCTCGTCTTCTCTCTCTCTCTCTCTCTCTCTCTCTCTCTCTCCCTTTCTCTCTCTCTCTCTCTCTCTCTCTCTTTCTCTATACACACGGCCTCGTGGGCCGTCTTGGGCGCCCCTGGGGGCGTCATGGAGCCCGGCTAGGCCGTCCCGGGGCCTTCCTGGGGGCCGCTGGGCGCGTCCTAAGGCGGTGTCAGAGGCCTCGTGGGCCGTCGCGGAGCGCGAGAATGTCGATAAACACAGGGCACCGAAAACATTGGAAAACCCTAGCAAAATCAATGATTATTGCTTCTCGGGGTCCTCGTCTGGGCCCTCGAGCGCCCACTGAAGCTGGCACGGGGCCGTCCTGGCGCAGCCTGCAAGCCTTCTGAGGCCGTTCAGAAAGCATGTTCGGTGCTCTCGGGACGTGCTAGACCCAGTCTGGTACATTGTTATACCAATTGGTGGGTTCTCCGTGCGACCACGAGGCCACTTGGGCCCCACCGAGCGGGCCCCTGGATCTCCGATCCGCCCATGTGTACCCGGGGTCACCGTTCCGGGCCCGCCCGCCCGAGGCCTACTCCGACATATGTGTGTATATATATATACGCATGCACATACATCATGTGTTTGGCAACGAGCCCTTTCAACACCAACGCCGCGGCCGACCAGGCAAACGTCGTTGGACGTTTTGAGGCACGGCGTGCGTGGGGGCGGGGAAGGGGAGAGAGGAGAGAAATCCGCCACCCCGAGGTTCCCGCTAGGGACCCCCCCAGCCTGCACAGCCCTCAAGGGGTCGGAGGGAGGCGCAACCAAGGGCACAAGCGCACCGCAGAAAGGGTTGGCAATCCCCAGCAACCGAGCTCTGAAGTCTGGCGGTCTCTGCTACCTGTCGGCGCGGGCCGTGCTCGCGCAACTGGCAAGTACATGTGACCTTCACAGGAGGAGGAGGAAGAGGAGGAGGAGGAGGAGGAGGAGGAAGAGGAGAAAGAGGAGAAGGAGGAGGAGAAGGAGGAGGAGGAGGAGGAGGAGGATGAAACGCCAGATGGCGAATGATACGAATTAGCCCGAAACGCGCATCGTCCCCTGTCCGTTGTGAAGCCTCTTGGGGGCCGTTTTAACGCCATTGGAAGCATCTTTGGGGCTTGTTGGGGGCCTCTGGGGGCTCCTGAGGGCCTCTTGCAGACCTCGTGGTGCCTCTTGGGAGCCTCTTGGGGCTGGCGTTCCCACTCTTGGACCCATCTTGGGGCCGTCTTGGACCCCTCTTGAAGCCGTCTTCGCGCCCTCTTGGGGCCGTCTTGGGGCCCGCCTGGGGCCTTCTGTGGCTCCCTGCCACCTCATAGCCTCCAGAGTCTCGAGGCAAACAAAAACTGCACGCACACAAGCTTTCGCAGGTCCGCGCGGATGTCTAGGGCCAGCGCTGGACCCCACTCCCTGGCGCGCGGAGCGCGCCAGATATTGGGGGGCCGAGAGCCAAGACAAGAAACCTCCGCGGAGCTCCAAAGGAGCCAGGCCTGCACCGCCTGTCCTCCTCCTCCGAGAGGGGGGGGAGGGCGGCTCTGGGACTGCACGGGGATCATCCTTCCTACTCCTCCTCCTCCTCCTCCTCCTCCTGCTTGCTCCCTCCTTCTTCTTCCTCCTCCTCCTCCTTTCTGCCCCTCCTCATCCTCCTCCCTGCTCCTCCTCCTCCTCCTCCTCCTCCCTGCTCCTGCTCCTGCTCCTCCCAACTCCACCTCCTCCTCCTCCTCCTCCTCCTCCTCCTCCTCCTCCTCCTCCTCCCCACTGCTCCTCCTCCTCCAACCTCTCCTCCTCCTTCTCCTCCTCCTCCTCCTCTATCCTCCGTCCTCCTCCTCCACCACCAACCCCTCCTCGCTCTACCTCCTCCTCCACCTCCTCCTCCTCCTCCTCCTCCTCCCTGCTTCTCCTCCTCCTCCTCCCTGCCCCTTCTCCTCCTCCTCCTCCCTGCCCCTTCTCCTCCTCCCTGCTCCTCCCCCCTTCGACCCTCCCCTCCTCTCGCATCCATCGCCCCGCCCCCCGGACCGTGACATTCGGCTGGCGGCCCGCCGGCAGCGCCGGGGAGCCGTGCAGCGGGCGCGCCTCCTCTGGCGGGGCCCTGTGCGGCGTGGCCAGCGGGAAAACCTCCAGGACCTGCGGGGGGGGTCGCTGGCGCCCCTGGCCTCGCGGCAGCCCGATGAGCAAGGAGACGGGAGGGGAGGAGGGAGGAAGCATGGGCGGAGGAGGGAGGGAGGGGGGAGGGAGGGGGGGCGGAGGGAGGAGGAGGGAGGGAGGGGAGGAGGAGGGAGGAGGGAGGGAGGGAGGAGGGAGGGAAGGAGGAACCAGGGGCGGAGGAGGGAGGGAGGGAGGGAGGGAGGGAGGGAGGGAGGGTGGGTGGGGGGCAAGCTGGGCGCGCTGGCACCATGTCTGACATCCTGCCCCTCCCACCCATCCCTTCCACCTGCGCTGCGCTGCTGTCTATCCACCGACACCTCGTGCCATGGCGGACCTGTCCAGAAAGGACCCCGTCGCGCTGTGCGTAATCAGTAGAGGGGAGCTGCGTACACTGGAGGTGGGAAGAGCGGGGAGAGCAGGAGGACCAGGGGAAGGCGGAAGAGGGGAAGGAGGGGGACGACCACGATGAGGAAGGGCTGAGATCCATAAAAGTGGCCCGCGCTGGAGCGAGAGCGCCATCCTGAAACCCGGGAGCAAAGAGCCGATCCTAAACTGAGGCCCCCGCTGCAGCGGAAGCACCATTTTGACACACCGAGAACGCACCGATTGGAGAAACTGAGTATCGAGAGTACCAGATGATGAAATCCTGCGCGCCAGAAGCAAATGCGCGGAGTGGGCGGCACAGGGCTGGGGTAGAGGCGAGAGTAGCACGAGGGAGGGCAATGGCGAGGACGAGGAGGTAGGACGAGGACGAGGACGAGGGAGGACGAGGACGAGGGCGAGAGAAAGTAGCACGAAAGTGGCTGGAGGACAATGGGGGAGGAGGAGCAGCACCAGGGAGGGCGAGGGCGAGGACTGGGGCCAGGGAGGACGCCATGGGGGAGGACGGGGAGCAGCCGCAGGCCGAAGAGGCAGGGGGATCTGGGGATGGAGGGAGGAGGGAGGCCCTCCTCCCTCCCCTCCCCTCCCCCCCCTCCCCCCCTCCCCCCATCCCCACATCCCTCCCTCCCCTCCCCTCCCTTGATCTCTCCCTCCCCTCCCCTCTCCCCGCCCCCCCCCTCCATCCCCACATCCCTCCCCCCCCCCCCGGCCGCCCCGCACCCCACCCCCCTCCCTCGCCCTCGCCTGCTCACGGTGCCCCATCCTTCGGGACTGGGGGGCACCGCGGGGAGGAGGGAGGGGCGAGGGGGAGGCGCCACAGAGAGAGGAGGCAGCGGTCTGGCACCAGGCCAGCCAGGGCAGGCGGCCGCCCAGTGGCCAGGGCACGGGCAGGCGGCGGCGGCGGGCGGAGGGCAGAGCGCACCGGCCCGGCCCGCCCGCCCAGGGGAGAAACGGGGCACGGAGTCTCCGGACGCCATGGGGGGAAGGGGAAGAGAGCGGCGAGGAGAGGAGGGAGACGAGGGCCAGCAGGGCGCGGAGGGCGAGGAGGCAGCAGGGAGCACGCACGGATGGGAGGAGAGAAGGGGGATGACGCAGGAGGTGAGATCGAGAGAGGACGAGCTCGGAAAGCGTGAAGCGTGACGGGTGAATTCTTGGCTCAAGGGACCCGTGGGGGGGCAGGACAGCGAGCTACATCACAGAAGGAACAAAACGATCATCGGCGCGATACTTTCGGCTCGTTCGCCAAAAAGAACGAATTCAGCAGATGAGACCTTTCAAGGCCTCACGATGTTTTACCTCAGAATACAAGAGCGTAGCCACACATGTTCGGATGCTGTAAATATGTACATAAATGAAAATGGTGCGGTCGAGGTGGCCTTGCTGGCTGCAACAATCTACGTGTGCCGTATCTCGGCCGGCCATGACTGCAACGCCGAACCATCATGCTGAGGATGTGCTCGAAAAGGGCAAGAGGGAGGAGAGGAGATGGAGGGCAGATGGGAGAGGGAAGGAGGAGTATAAAGCATGGAAATGGCAGGAGTGAACAGTGGACCCCTCCCACGGCGAATCATGTTGTTTCTCTTTTGGTCATCTGTTCATGTGCGCTTGGATCGGGAGCTGTGGCCAGAATTGACCCCTGCCAGAATCTAGTGAAAGTCAGTTCCCTGACCCCTTCTGGACACCATCCCGACCAGCTCTTCGAACCGCGCTATGCCATGGCAGCGACCCCTAGGCCCCACAAAAAAGGAGCGGTCAAACCTGGTAGATCTCTTCCTCGGCCTCCTCCTCCCCTCCTCCTCCTCCTCCTCCTCCTCCTCCTCCGTCTCCTCCTCTTTCTCCTCCTCTTCCACTTCTTCTTCCTCCTCCTCCTCTTCCTCCTCCTCCTGGTCATCATCATCAGCAGCATCATCATCATCATCATCAGCAGCAGCAGCATCATCGTCAGCATCATCATCAGCATCATCATCACTACTATCACAATCACCATCACCATCAGCGACATCATCATCAGCAGCAGCAACATTATCATCACCACCACCACCATCATCATCATCACGTCACCATCATCATCGTCATCGCCATGGCTCCCATCACCATCAGCATTCAAATACACATGTTCCTCAGCATCAACTTCATCGCCCAAACCATCGTCACAATCGTAGTTGTCGTGATCACCAAGAACATCCTAACTGTCAGCAGTACCACCATCTTCATCGGCATCATCAACGTCAGCAGCACATCGTAACCCTAGTATCCCGAATCCCCTCCTCCTCCTCCTCATCATCATCATCAACAACAACATCATCATCATCACGACTATCCTCGTACTAAGCTTCCATCACCACCACGGCCATGACAATCACCATCACCATCATCACTATCACAATCACCATCATCGCCGTCATGGTCGTCATCGCTTCGCCATCACCGCGATACCAAGCGTCATCATCCTCAACACCATGCACACCCACCACCACCACCATCCCTCCTTCCCCTCCCTCCCGCGGCGGCGGGCACAATCCTTGCGCTCTGCAAATGGCTGCGGGTGAGTACTCCAACGCTGTGCGCAGGCCACCCAGGAACGGCCGGTGCTCGCAGCAGGCTACCGCCATTCTTCAGGGAGGAGGGGGGCGCCAGCTGCAGCCTCGGCCTGCCGCTACCCGGGAGCTCGGCCAGGCGTGCGGGGAAGACGTACTACAAATCTCACCATAGGGGGACGCGGGACAAAAAGGTGTCTGACAGCGCGTCTGGGACCCCCCCCTTCAGAGCGGTGCAACAACGGGTCTACCGTCGAGACCCCCAGACAATCTCGTTTGACGAGGCCCCTTAAACCCTCCACACAAGTAGGCCCTCCCAGTATTATGAGCTCTGGAGTACCTGGCCTCCGGCCCTCCCCTTTCCTCTCCTGGGCTCCCTCAACCTGCACGCCTTCCCCTCGCCGCCCTGGCGCGACCGTCGGCGCCCCGCCGCACTCGACCGCGGCCGGCGCGGGGTGCTGCCAGCTCGGCGTGGGAGAATCCGCCGGCGTGGCGGCGTGGCCCCGCGGGGCCTTGCGGGGAGGGCAAGTACTTCCTCCTCCTCCTCTTCCTCCGCCTACCTCTTCCTCTTCCTCTTCCTCTTCCTCCTCCTCCTCCTCCTCCGTTTCTTCTGTTTTGTCTGAGTATTATTATTATTATGTTTCTTATCCTGAGTTGTATTAGTACTATTATTCGTCTGCTTATTCTCTTTCGTATAGATATTATAGTTCAGATTCTTAGGATGACTATTATGCTTACCGTTGCTGCTCTTAGTATTCCTCCTTCTCCTTCTTCTCCTCCTCCTCCTCCTCCTCCCTCCTCCTCCTCCTCCTCCTCCTCCTTGTCCTCCTCCCTCTTCCTCCTCCTCCTCCTCCTCCTCTTCCTCCTCCTCAGTTTCCTCCTCCTCCTCCTCCTCCTCCTCCTACTCCTCGTCCTCGTCCTCCTTCTACTCCTACCCCTCGTCCTCCTCCACCTCTTCCTCCTTTTCCTCCTCCTCCTCCACCTGGCCTCCTCGTCACCCTCCTCGTTTTTGTTTCTGTTTCTTTTTCTTCCCCCCCATTAAGCCAACATGCCAGTGGTGGTGCCCAACCGCATGCACGAGGCAAACCAGGAATCACGCGAGGGCCAACCTGCAATAGGCGAGCCAACACGCGAAACCTTGGCCTGCGCAGAAAAAGTGAAAATGACTTCGCCGAGGCACCGTAGCAGGGCTGTCCTGCGAACGTGGCCGAAACTACGGCTCCCAGATCTCGTGCCACGACTCCGTGAGCCACCACGAAAGCACGCGTGCGGACGGGGCAGACTGCGCGCAACTAGCGCCAAGGCTGGCACGGCCACTGGAATACCACGCAAGAGGTGCAATCGAGAGCGCCTGAAGCGCATGGATGAAGAATTGCCCGGAGAGGGAGAGAGAAGGAAAAGGGGGGAGCCGAGGCGAAGGAGAATCCGCCGACCCCAGAGGCGTGTGAGGGAGAGCGTGTGCTAGAGCCATTCATCGTGAGGTTCTCCTTTCAAGCAGCCACCGACCGATACCCCCCTCCTGGCTCTCTCCCTTGGAACCTTTGTTCTTGGGCCCCCCCTTCCCCCACCACACCACTTCTCGCCCAAAACCGACCGATACCCCCAACCACACTCCCCACCACGCCCCCGACCCCCGAACCCACGATGTCTCGCCCAAACACGACCCACGCCCCCCCCCCTCCCCCCACCCGGCCCCCACCTGGCCCCGACACCCTCAAGCCTCTGGGCTCTGTTCTTGGAACCCCCGACCCCACGATTTCTCGCCCAAAAACGACCAACGTCCCCCCCCCCCTCCACCTGGCCCCGACACCCCCAAGGCTCTGGGCTCTGTTCTTGGGACTCCCCCACCCCACGATTTCTCGCCCAAAAACGACCAACGCCCCCCACCTGGCCCCCACCTGGCCCCGACACCCCCAAGCCTCTGGGCTCTGTTCTTGGGGTCCCCGACCCCACGATTTCTCGCCCAACAACGACCAAGGCCCCGCACCTGGCCCAACCTGGCCCCGACACTCCCAAGCCTCTGGGCTCTGTTCTTCGGAACCCCGACCCCACGAGTTCTCGCTCAAAAACGACCAACGCCACCCCCCCCAACCTCACCTGGCCCCCACCTGGCCCCGACACTCCCAGGCCTCTGAGCTCTGTTCTTGGGACCCTTGACGCCACGATTTCTCGCCCAATAACGACCAACGCCCCCCACCTGGCCCCCACCTGGCCCCGACACCCCCAAGCCTCTGGGCTCTGTTCTTGGGACCCCTGACCCCACGATTTCTCGCCCAAAAACGACCAACGCCCCCCTCCCCCCCAGGCCTCTGGGCTCTGTTCTTGGGACCCCCAACCCCACGACTTCTCGCTCAAAAACGACCAACGCCCCTCACCTGCCCCCCACCTGGCCCACACCTGGCCACCACCCCCCCACGACATCCCCAGGCCTCTGGGCTGTGTTCTTGGGACCCCCGGGCCCTACGATTTGTCGCCCAAAAACGACCCATACCCCCCACCTGGCCCCCACCTGGCCACCACCTCCTCACGACATCCCCAGGCCTCTGGGCTCTGTTCTTGGGACCCCCGACCCTACGTTTTCTCGCGCCAAAAACGACCCATACCCCCAACCTGGCCCACACCTAGCCACCACCCCCCCACGACATCCCCAGGCCTCTGGGCTCTGTTCTTGGAACCCCGGACCCTACGATTTGTCGCCACAAAACAACCCATACCCCCCACCTCGCCCCCACCTGGCCACCACCACCCCACGACATCCCCAGGCCTCTGGGCTCTGTTCTTGGGACCCCGGACCCTACGATTTGTCGCCCCAAAACAACCCATACCCCCCACGTGGCCCACACCTGGCCACCACCCCCCACGACATCCCCAGGCCTCTGGGCTCTGTTCTCGGACCCTCGACCCTACGATTTCTCTCCCAAAAACGACCCATACTCCCCACCTGGCCTCCACCTGGCCAGCACCCCCCCACGACATCCCCAGGCCTCTGGGCTCTGTTCTTGGGACCCGCGACCCTACGATTTCTCGCCCAAAAACAGCCCATCCCCCGCCACCTGCCCTTACCCTGCCCCCCCCCCCCCCCTACCCACGACATCCCGAGAGGCCTCTGGGCTCTGTTCTTGGGACCCCCGACCTGACGATTTGCTCTCCCAAATCGACCTATACCCCCCACGTGGCCCCCACCTGGCCAGCACCCCCCCACGACATCCCCAGGCCTCTGGGCTCTGTTCTTGGGACCCCGGACTCTACGATTTGTCGCCCCAAAACAACCCATACCCCTCACCTGGCCCACACCTGGCCACCACCCCCCCACGACATCCCCAGGCCTCTGGGCTGTGTTCTTGGGACCCCCGACCTTACGATTTCTCGCCCAAAAACGACCCATACCCCCCACCTGGCCCCCACCTGGCCACCACCCCCCCACGACATCCCCAGTTCTCTGGGCTCTGTTCTTGGGACCCCCGACCCTACGATTTCTCGCCCAAGAACGACCCATACCTCCCACCTGGCCCCCACCCGGCCACCACCGCTTCCCACGACATCCCCAGACCTCTGGGCTGTGTTCTTGGGACCCCCGACCCAACGATTTGTCGCTCCAAAACAACCCATACCCCCCACCTGGCCCCCACCTGGCCACCACCCCTCCACGACATCCCCCAGGGCGGCCTGGGCTTGTTTATCTTGGGACCCCCGACCTTGCGATTTCCTGCACAAAAAACCTCCCCCACCCTCCCACCCTGCCTCTCACCTGGCCACCACCCCCCCCACGACCATCCCCAGGGCCTCTGGGCTCTATTCTTTGCACCCCCGACTCACGATTTTCTCGCCCGAAAACGACCCATACCCCCCACCTGGCCGCCCCACCGGCCACGCACACCCCCCAGACATCCCCCAGGCCCTCGGGTTGTTCTTCGACCCCGGACTCCGTGAATATATGCCCATCTTAAACAACCCAGTACGCCC